AAGAGGAGTTGAAGGGAGGGTAAGGGGACGGGGAAAAAAAACCAAGTTAAACCATGTACTGGTACAAATTCTCTACGATGAATGTGATCATTATGTATATCTAAAAGGTACCAAGAAAATCTAATTCAAAATAAAATAAAACTATGTATATTGTATCTTCTCAAAAAAAAAAAAGAACAAATGCTAGAAAGGCTGCAGAGAAAACAGAACCCTTCCACATTGTTGGTGGGAATGTCAAGTAGTATAATTACTATGGAAATCAGTAGGAAGAGTCCTCAAAAAACTAAAAACAGAAATCTCAGTTGACCCAGCTATTCCACTTCTAGGTTTCTTCCCTAAAGAGTTGGTCATCATACTACAGTGATACACGCATACGCATGTTTATAGCATCACAATTTCTGTGTTTGTTTTTTTTTCCTGAGACAGGGTCTGACTATGTAGTTAGGTTAGCCTTGAACTTATTATGTAGCCTGGGCTGGCTTCAAACTCACAGTGATCCTTCTGCCTCAGCCTCTCCAGTGCTAGGGATTACAGGCATGTGCCACTATGCCCAGGTACAGCATCACAATTGCTGTAGCTGTATCTTCAAAATGGCCTATATACCCATCAACAGCTGAGTGCATAAAGGAAATGTGGTACTTATATGCAATGGAGCACTACTCTGCCATAAAGAAGGATAAACTTGCTATGCGTGGTTTATCAAAGAAAGATCTTCCTACTCTTCTTATCTCTTTTATTTATATTTTAAGTTTTTCATGTAAGAGAAACCATGTGATACTTAAACTTGTGCATTGTGCATATTTATTTCACTTAATATTTATCATAGAGAATTGGTAAATATACATAAACACCTTAATTCTTTTTTTCATCCCCTATACCTGCCATCCCGCCCTGTCCCCTTCCCATTTGAAAAAGATCTTCCTACTTCTTATTATCTTTTATTTTATTTTGGGTTTCTCATATAAGAGAAACCATGTGATATTTAAGCTTGTGTGTCTGATTTATTTCACTTCATATTATGGCCTCAATGTGCATCCATTTACTTATCAAAGTTTCAAGTTTATCCTTTTTGTTTGTTGAGTATGTGGTTCAGATTGGCCTTAAGTTCATTATGCAGCCCAGGATAGCCTGGATTCACAGCAATCTTCCTATGTCAGCCTTCCTAAGTGCCAGGATTACAGGCATGCACCACCATGCCCAATCTGGCATATTTTTAAATTAAAAAAAAGTTATATACCCTCAAACAAAAAATTAGAAGCAACCAGAACACCTAAATCAAAAAGCACTGCAAAGAAGTACTGTTATTACTATTATATTTAGCTACAAATTCAGGTCCCTCAAGGGCAACACCTTAGGAAACCTTAGTAGTAAAAAACTAAACAAATACATCTTATCAAAGTCTTTTAAGAGGAACATGAACCCCAAGCCATGAGGACCCCAAGCCACAAAAGCAGTAATTCCAACATACAAAGTAAATCCCATTTTTCTTCTACTCTAATGGGTGGCAAGAGCTAAGGGATGATACATAGCAACCAGGGACTTTTAAAATTATGCAGTATTGACTGCATTGTAAAATGTATGTGACGAAGCTGGGAATGGTGGTACATGCCTATAATCTCAGCGCTAGGCTGAGGGCGGAGGATCACTTTGAGGCCAGCCTGAGCTACATAGTAGGTTCAAGGCCACCCTGAACTACACAGTGAGACCCTGTCCCCCCGCAAAAAAATTTTTAAAAGTATGCTATATAACCCATATATATCTTTTACATCAAAATCAACTTTCATTTACATGCAAAACTGCAAAGATGGCCAGCAGTCATTTGCACACATTATAGAGTGACCACTTCATTCTACTAGTTAGAATATGATATAACTGCATAGAAAAAAAAAAAAACTGCATAGAATATGATATAACTGCATTAAAAAAAAAAGGCTAACAAGTATATTTTTAACCTCTTACAGTTCTAATTATTTACCCAACATTAAAAGCTGCAGTAATGCTGGGTATGGTGGTGCACACCTGTAATCACAGCACTTGGGATGCTGAATCAGGAGGAGCACTGCGAATTCAAGGCCAGCCTGGGCTATACAGTGAACTCAAGGCCAGCCTAAAACACACAGAAAGACCCCGTCTCTCAAAAAAAAAAAACAAAGCTGCAGTAATTTACATACCTGAAATATAAATTTAAGTTAAGAGCAACTGCTGAGTTGGGGGAGCCGACAATCACTATAACATCTAGGTCTTGAGACACTTTCAGGGAGGTAAAGAAAGAAATCTTGGCTGGCTCCTGCTGCTGTTCATTGCACGTATCTTCTTGGTGAAGTGCTAAATCCACATACGCTACATGTGTGCCATCCACAGTGTCAAAAATATCTTTGAGTTACAGTTAAAGAGAATGTTAGTTTTATAAATACACTGAGACATTTAAAACACAGGATGAGACAGAACTGTTGCTTTCATTGCTATAACTTGAAAATTTTATTGTACCTACCAGATTATAGCAATGAAAGCATATTTAAAACTTGTTTAATAATTGAATCAAGTATTAATAATTGAATCAATATTAGCTTTCAAATCTAAAGCAATTAAGTAAACTATTAATAAAATTAAGAATTCAGATCCCAAGTCATACTGTCTAATTTCAAATGCTCAATAATTACATATGCCTAGTGATAACCTGGCAAAAAAATTAAGTTGACCTAGTGCTTTAAAACAGTTTTATAAAAATGATATGTGTAAAACAGAAAAATGATCCTTTTAATTCACAAATAAAGGTCCAAAAATCATACAGAAGGTGCACTTTTCAAATCTTCAAAATAATTTTGCTGATGGCCTACAGATCTAGAGACTAAGATCCTCTAGTATTTTCCAGAACCAAATTAACAACAGTGAAGCAAATGCACTCATCACAATGATGGAGAGCTAGGCGTGGTGGTAGCGCATGCCTGTAATTCCAGCCGGTTAGCAGGCAGAGGCAGGAGGAACACCTGGGCTACATAATGAATGTAAGGACAGCCTGGACTATATGGCAAGACCCTGTCTCAAAAAACAAAACAAAACAGAAAGATGGAATCGTTGGACATAAGGGTTACATCACACATAAAAAGATATTACATAATAAACTGTCACCTTAAATCAACCCAGGACTGTTCCCATAGTAAGTACTTCAAGAAATGTATGTATTTTTGTTTTGGTTTGGTGTTTTTGGTACTGGAAACTGAACTTACGACCTCACACTTGCCAGGCAGGCACTGTGCCACTGAGCTATATCCCCAGCCCTGTTTCTTTTTTTTGAGACAGGGTCTTGCTACAAAGTTCAGGCTGGCCTTGAACTCACTTTGTAGCCCAGGCTGGCCTGGAACTTGCAGCAATCCTCCTGTCTTAGCCTCCCAAGTGCTGAGATTACAGGCGTGCACCACCATGGCCAGCTTCAGGAAGTATATTTTGAAAAAACAGATAATGCAGAGCATATGCAATATTAAAGCATGAAAGTGTAAGATGATTACAACTATGTATGTATATATTTTATGTATATACCTAAACATTAGAAGAGATTTGAATAGAATACAAATGATACAGTTATATTAAGTGTATAAGAATCTTTTCCCCTGAGAAGTTGTACTAGAAAACTAACCACTCTCCTTATACTCCAGCCCTTAAAACTTTCTTGATATTCTCCTCCATTACACAGCAATCAGTATCTTTACTGCCAAGGATACGGATCCAGTTTAAACTGCTCAAAACAAAAAGAATTCCTCTGCAGAGCTGCGAGTCAATGATGGTTTCCACTGTCTGTGCAGGTAAGGGTAACGTGAAACAGTTGAGTACTCTAATCTCAGCATCTTTCTCAGGAAATACAACATGTAGGATGACACATTTGTTGATGAACAGTAATGATGTGTTATTGTGAAACGAGAGAATCCTCAAAGACAGTAAGGAAATACCTATAAAACAAAAAGATACTTCAAACCCATTGCTCACAGTTTTTTAATTGGTAAATTTGATCTTACAAGCATAACACAGGAAAACAAAAGAGAAACTGCACTTAGCCCAACTAACAAACAGCTGTTATTGTTCATCCTTACCTAAGCAAATAGTCACTGGGTGATAGGTAAATGGAAGAATATAATAGCTTACAATGTCCCTGGTTTCTTCTGTTTAAATTCAATCTGACAACACACAAGAAGGAATACTCAAAAAAGTCCACTTAGCTGGGCACGGTGGTGCATGCTTGGGATGCTGAGGCAGGAAGATCGCTACCAGTTCCAGGCCAGCCTGAGCTACATAGTGAGTTCAAGGCCAACCTATACTACACAGTGAGACCCTGTCTCAAAAAAAAAAAAAAAGTCAACTTAGGACTGGATCTGGGGGTACATGCTTGGAATGCCACCACTTGGGTGGCTGAGGCAGAAAGCTTGCTACAGAGTGAGTTTGAGGCCAGCCTGAACTACACAGTGAGACCCTGTGTCAAAAACAAAGAACAGCCAACTTACACAAAGGATCCCCACAGTAACAATCAGAGACTTTTCCTTTTCTTTCTTTCTTTTTTTTTTTTTTTAAGGAAAATGAACGAACCACATGATTAAGGGTAGATAGTATGTTACTGCCCTAAAAATAGAGGACTGGGTGCTTTGATTTCTGCTCCCTGAAGCCATCAGGATAAGGTATAGTGAACAGCTCTGTAGCAGTATAGATCAGCACTGTCTAAGAGAAATATGTATTATTTGGCCCATATCCAAAATATCATTTCAACATCTAACATAAAAAATTATTGAAATAATTCACTTTTCTGGTACTAAGGGTTTTCATTTTTGTTTTTGTTTTGTCTTTTTGAGACAAGGTCTCACTATGCAGTTTTGGTCTTGAACTCACTTTGTAGTCCAGGCTGGCCTCAAACTCCCAATGATCCTTCTGCCTCAGCCTCCTGAGTGCTGGGATTACAGGTGTGCGCCACCATGCCTGGCTTCTGGTACTAAGACTTTAAAACCCAGTTGGTATATGACATGTAAAGCATGTCTTTATTCATACTGACCACAACGGCAGTACTCAATAGGCCTGTGTGGTTAATGGCTATTAGCTGGATAATGCAGATTCCCTCACTGATTTCATCTCTATGAGAACTTTTTTATGAAATATATAAAAGTACCTAAGTAAATGTCACAAATTTAAACACACTGAAAGACCATCTGTAGGCACTTACTGATATCTTGATCTTCAATAAGCTTTTGCAGAGTCTTCCCACTACAGCTGTACAATATAGCTGCATCATATCGTCCATCTTTCAAATTAAATTCATAGATAAGCAGTTCATAATTCTGACTAAGAGCAAGCAGCTTGGGCTTGTGTGTTGGTGTGCTGTTATCAGAATCCTCCCACATAAACCTAAAGGAAAAGTTTAGATTTGTTATATTCTATATCTATAATCACATGTACCCACAATAGTAGGCATGGAAGTACTGAATGAGTAAAGTTTCATTCCCAAAGTATCAGTTCTCCATTCCAACTTTTTTTTTTTTTTGGTTTTTCTCTGGTACCGGGAACCGAACTCACGACCTTGCACTTGCCAGGCAGGCGCTTTTGCTGCTGAGCTAAATCCCCAGCCCCTCCATTCCAACTTAACAGAGATAAACTTCCCTAAGACTTCCCTCGTCTTCTCCCTTCCCCTTCATTTCTTCCTCTTCTGCCTCTTCACAATAACATAATAGAGAAGTGAGTGATAAAAAGTGGCAGAGCAAAAAATAAAACATAGTGCAAAAATGTACCAATAAAAAATTAAATATCAAGCTGGAAAAAGTCAAATGTAAAATAAATTAGTACAAGGGAAAAAAATTTTTTAAAATAATCTTTTATTTCTTCACTTTAAATCTTTTTTTGCTTTTTTTACCTTAAAACTTAACTGACCTTTAAAGAAGCTGTCATTATCAAAGATAAGTACAAATAATTAAATATGTAGTATATTATTTACAAAGTGGTACTCACAATTAGTAAGACAGGCTTTTGCTAAGTTATATATTTTCAAAGACTTTAAAAACAAGAGTGATTTTTTTTTTTTTGTCTTTTTGAGACAGTAGTTCACTACACAGTTTAGACTGGGCTAGAACTCACTTTGTAGCCCAGATTGGCCTCAAGCTCCCAGCGATCCTCCTGCCTCAGCCTCCATGCTACCATACCCGGCCTATAAGTAATTCTTTATATCCATCAACTCTGAAAGCTCAGCGGGCCATGGTGGTTCAGGCCTACAATCCCAGTACTTGGAAGGCTGAGGCAGGAGGATTGCCGGGAGTTCAAGAACAGCCTGGGTTACACAATGAGTTAAAGCCAGTCTAAACTACATAGCGAGACCTAGTCTCAAAAAAAACCAAAAAGCTTCTGAAGGCTCTAAGATAGTACACTGCAGAACAAGCCTGTCCAACAGAACTTTTTGTGATAATAAAAATGTCCTATATTAATGCTGCTGAAGACAGTAGCTGATAGTCATATGTGGCTATGGAGTACCTGAAATGTGGGTAATACAACTGAGAAACTGAATTTTAAACTTTATTTAATTTTAAATCAATATGACTAATGAATACCACATGTGGCTAATGGCTACGACACCAGACAAAATGTAGTTATAGAATTCTTTTCTGAGGCTGTTGTTTTTTGAGACAGGGTCTCACTATACAGTGCACGCTGGCTTTGAACTCATTTAAGTAGCCCAGGCCAGCCTCAAACTCACAATCTTCCTGCCTCAGCCTCCTGAGTGCTCCAACTACAGGAATGCAACACCATGGCCAGCTAGTTATAGAATTCTTAAGACGCTGTAGTATGAAAACAATTCTGGCTAACGAAGATGGAAAGAGACTAAGGATGCTATAGCTTCAAATCAAATATTAAATTATATTTAAAAAATAAATATAGAAGGGCCCAACCTAGGTACAGTGGCATGCGCCTATAGTCCTAGATACTCAGGAGACTGAGGTAGGAGAATAGCTTCAGCCCAGGAGGATGCCAGACTAGGCAATATAGCAAGACCCTGCTCAAAATAATAATAATAATAATAATAATAATAATAATAATAATAATAATAGGCCCAAATCTGAAAACAATGGAATAGAAAGAAATAAGACTACCACGAAGCTTCATCTCAGAATTGGGCATCTTGGCACACACTTGTGATCTCAGCACTTGGGAGGCTGAGACAGGAGGATCAGAGAGTTCAAGGCCAGTCTGTGCTACATAGTGAATTCAAGGCCAGCCTGAACAGCACAGTGAGACCCTGTCTCAAAGACCAAAACTAAAAAAAGTTTCATCCCCCATCCCACCCTTTGTAGCTCAGGCTGGCCTCAAATTCATAGCAATCCTCCTGCCTCAGCCTTTCAAATCCTGAAACAACTGGCATGTGCTACCATGCCCAGTGCTCACTTTTTACCTTTTAAAAACTTTTTTTCAGACTGTCTCAGTACTGAGGAAAGTAGAGGCAGGAGGACTGCAAGTTCCAGTTCCATCTGAGCAAGTGAGTGAGCCGCTGTCTCAAAATAAAAAAAATTTTTAAAATGGGCTGAGGATGTAGTTTAGTGCTAAGAGTGGTTTTGATTCTCAGTCCAGCCAACAAACAACTTTTGTTTTCCTACAGAATTAGTAAGCTTTATATAAATATGGAGAAGAGCTTGGTGCTATTAAGTCCTTGTTAGAGAAAAAGACTGATAACATTTCACATTTCTTTGTATCTGGACTGATTTTTCACAAACAGCCAATTTCTGACTGTTTACATTGAAAATTTGGAAAATCTAAATATCTAGAAAAGCTTAGATACACTAAGATAATATCTAAAAGACAGACACTACTGTAACACCATTAAAATCATAAGCACACGCATTGTCTTGCCACCTGGAAAGACAGATAATTTTGGATGAAAAGAACAAAATATATAATATGTAAACACTGCAACGAAACACTCATACTTTGAGAAAAGTAGGAAGTAAACGTTTTCACACTATAGGGTACTGTAACTGAATTAAGTTCAGCTCAATTCAAGTTAAAAAGTTAAAAGGCTGCCTTGTGGGTCCTCCTCACGTCTAATTTTATGAACTGGCATATGAACACCCACGTTAAGCGTTCAAGTCTTACCTCCCTGATACATTCTCAGACACCTACAGAATCTCTCCTACAGAGAGAAAAGACACTGCTTCTCTGTCCCACTCTACTGGGGTTGATACAGGATACTGTTGAGCAACTTCTCTTATGGAGATTCTCATTTCTAACAACCAGCGGTCAAGAATAAAGAAAATCAAGACGACTTAAATTAGAGATGACCCCCCACTCGGCACCTTTAACAGAAGTTGGGGGTAGTCCTCGCAGGGCGATAATTAACCAGCGTTGAGGAAAGAAGGGGCCACTGGGGTTCGCTAGCGCGGGAGAGCGGCGGGATCCACAATCTCCGCGCGGGGCGGGGCGTGGGCGGGGCGTGGGCGTGGCCCGGCCCCGGGCTCCCTCCGGGGTCTCCCGCGGCTGTCGCCCTCGCCCTCGGGGTGCTGCCTGCCCGCCAGGGGCTGCGGACTCCACCCACGCAGCCCAGCTTCCCCGCCCCACTTACTGCTGGAAGGGGCCCTCGAGACAACAGCCGCCCCCGTCCCGGCCGCCCGGCACCAAGGAAAGCACTTGAAGGCTGCCCGCAGACGTCAAGCTCCCGAGGGCCTCCTGCTCTCTGTGCATCTGCGCCCGGGGGCCCAGCCGCGCCGTCTCCTCAGCGGGCAGTGGCACCAACAGCATAGGCAGCACACACTCCATGGCCTCTGCGGGGTAGCTCCGGCCAAGGAAAGCACTTCTGGCGCCCTGCCCGGCCGCAGCCATATCGGCCCGGCCGCTCCTCCCGTCAGCCTCGCCAGCCCCTCCCGGTACCACTGCGTGCGGCGCATGCGCGATGGTGCGAGCGGCTCCGGCGCTGCCTCGTGACGCCCACCGGAAGCGCCGAAGCGGCTCTGCTCAGTCCCTTAGCTGTGCGCGGGGGCGGATCCGGGGCTCCTTCAAAGCTCAGCTGTCCCGCACTCTCATTAGCTACTTAGGAGCTCTTGAAGGACAATCTCAGCTGTTGCTCTTATTCTGTGTCGTTACCGTTTGCCGTCTTTGTTTAGCCACTCTCTGGAAACCAGCTCCCGCTTTCTTAGCTTCTCAGTGCTGCTCTCAGGCCCCGGGGTGTGCGCCTTCCTTGGGAGCGAAGCTCCAAGCCTTACGTTATTGATCCATCATAAAGGCTTTGACCTGAATGTTCAGGTCAAATAATAGCCCTTGTAACAAGCAGAGAGATGGGATAGGGAGCGGGTAGAGAAGCTGGGGCTCATGTTTCCTTGCTTCTGCTTTTCTCGGAAAAGTGCGATCCAAGATCAGCAGACAGGAGAGGGCAGGAGGGTGGAGAGGTGGTGCTAAGGAGCCATGTAGGGAAGGCTTCCAATCGCAGAGCCTTACATTCTTCGCTCCATTTGGAACGTTTCAGCTTAATGTAATGTCTAGTATCGGGCCTCGGACCGGTCGATCTAAAGTCCCCTCCACTCTAATCACCCAACTTTGTTTTCCCCGTAATAGTTATCACTACTTGACAGTTTGTGAGTTCCTGTCCAGCCAGAAGGCAAACTTCAAAAGATCAAAGGCTGTCTGTTGTTCTTTATCGTTCTCTTGTCTTAAAAGGTGCCTGGAACCCTGAGATATAGCTCAGCGGCACGAGCACCTGGCAAGCGCCAGGTCCTGAGTTTGATTCCCGGTACCAAAAAATATTAAAATAAAATAAAGAGGTGCCTGGTTCATAAAAGGCGTTCGTTCCAATTTGATCAATGCATAACCCTGTCTGTCAAAAATGAAACCAAACATTTCCTATCCTTGGGGGAGATATATCTAGTCCTCTGGGCTATTTATATAAAATTTGGCAACCCTGAAGCACAGTCCCAGGTTAAACTTTTGTTAGGAATAGCAAGAGCTTGTCTCTTGTAAGGCTATCTTAACACTTATCTTTCCTTAATAGGAAAGATGGCGTTCGTTACAGCTTCAAAACTTAGAATCTTTTTTTTTTTTTTTTTTTGAGACAGGGTGTCCCTGTACAGTTCAGGCTGGCCTTGAGCTCACTTTGTAGCCCAGGCTGGTCTCGAACTCACAATGATCCTTCTGCCTCAGCCTCCAGAGTGCTGGGATTACAGGCGTGTGCCACCACGCCAAGCTAAAATTTAGAAATTTAAACACATCATTTGATCACCTCTTTAATTATGTCTTATTAATCCATGTCTCATTCTTAGGAACATTTAGATTTTAAGAAAGGAAATGAAAATATTTGCAGCAGTCTTCCAATATCCTGAGGCCTGAGAAATATCTTCAGATTGTCTGGATTGCTGTAGAGAGCTCATACAACTTCATGTCTGAGGATTAAGCTTCCTACACACAGGTAGAGGAATTCCAGAACAAACTGATCAGTAGATCAGACAACCCTACGAAGAGAATAGGTGTTAAATAACAAATACTTGGTAAAATGGAATTATTGTAGTTAACACCTGACTCTTTCTTTTGGTAAAACTTGAGGACAGAGTTGACCTCTATGTTATTCATGCTTCTATCCTGGAATACTTGTTCCTCAGATAATTTTTGAATGAATGAATTAAATTAGCTCTTGCCCTCAATATGACTATATGTGACTAAACAAGGTTTAAAATTTAAAGGATTGGCTAAATAAATTCTTTTTATTTTTTGCCTTTTTGAGACAGATAATATGCAGTTCAGGCTGACCTTGAACTCACTATGTAGTAGTCCAGGCTGGCCTCACAGTGCTCCTCCTGCCTCAGCCTCCCAAGTGCAGGGGTTACAAACATATGCCACCACACCCAGCTGTAAATGCTTGAATGAATGAATGAATAATTCATTTTTTCATATCAACTCTTGCCCTCAGTATGACTATACATGACCAAACAAGGTTTAAAATGAAGAAGTTTGGTTGAAGAAATGGACATAGGGTTCAGACTTGGGCCAGTGTCTTGAACTACTTTGAAAGGACATTATCCTCCATATTCTTGGTTTAACACGTTTGAGATGGGGCTGTAATTCATATATCTCGCTGCTGGCAGCTCGAACCATCAGTAGTACGTGCATTACTGTCCCAGTTCTACCACCAGTGTACAAGCTGCCCAAATCAAACAGTCACATGTGTACTACCAGTGGTTCAAGCCAGCGGGAACCTGTTAAAGAAGTAGGGCAGTGAAAGACAGATTCTAGATTGGGCTTGCACATTGGGCTGTGACCTTCTTTCTGCCATCAGTTACTCCTGGGCTCTAGCTGCTGAACCAGTTGTTTGTCCAAGTGGTGACAGAACAGGGGAAGCAGGTTGCTGGGAAAGTCTAGGGGTTCTGCCAGAGAGGCTGTAGGCATTCGAGCTATCTCCCAGGCAATCAGAACCACCATGTCTGTCCTGGAGGGCAGAGAAGAAGAAACACAGAGCCTTTGCATTTATGAAGGAAACAGACTTGGACTAAGGTTCAGTATTATCTTTCCACCACTATTATCACAACCACCAAACTCCAGATAGCAAAAGGTAAAAATTGCACATTTGATTTGTGCTAGAGGGTGCTTAAACTTTACATATCTTTCTTTCTACTTAATCTTAATAACTCCCAGGGATTAGTACTATCATCACTAGATAAACAGACTAAGAAGTAAAATAACTTGCCCCAAAGTTGTATTACTGGCAATTGACAGAGCTAGAACTCAAACCAAGGTGTGTGACTCTCATATTTACCCATTTAGTTATGGTTACATTGCTTCCCACGGAAGACCAATACTCTGGGGTACTATTAACAAACAAACAAACAAAAAAAAACCAGCCACAACCCTGCTATTTCTTTCTGGGCCTAATCATCTCTCTAATAATGGAAATGCCACTCAGGAAATCTCTCATCTGGTTCACATCCCAGGGATACTGAGAAATTATTGACAGGGCCTGTATGGTCTTACCAAGCTGTGTGGTCCCTATTGGGTTCCTTTAGGGAAGAATCCAGTGACACCAGCTGCTCCCCATGACTCAGCAGGGCATAGAGCAAAGATATTCCAAACTGCAAGTGATACACATAGTTCAGAACAAAATGAGTTCACCTTAGGCATTTAGGACTTTTCTAGCTCTGGTATCTTCCTAACTAAAGGGCAGATTAATTTATAGCTGGAGAACAATACCCACAGGAGCTGTCAGATTTTACACTGGCTAGCCAAAGAACTGATTTTCCCAAAAGAATCACTGCTCTGAGGTTTCCACAGACCTCTCTCTGAGAGCTGATTAAATGCGCCCTTTGGGGCTCCAACCCAGGAATAAGTGTGTAGATCTGGTACGGGTCCAGGAATTAGATGTAGTCTGTGGATCCCACTTTAAGAAGCATTTGTAGACAGATTTCTGGTGTGGGTTCACCAGCATGTTGGAACTTTCATATCTAGAGTCACATGATTTTAAACTTTCTTGTATTTGTTATATACCTATTACTATGGTGTCGTGTATGATTTATAAATACATGTATGGTATGGTTCAGAATTTTCTTCTAAAAGGCACACACATCAAAAATTGGAGACCTCTGCTATAGAGGCTTACACCAGCAGCACCATCAGAGAGCTTGTTACAAAAGCAGATACAGCTGGGCATGATGGCTCATTCCTATAATCCCAGGACCTTTCGGGTATGGCAAGAGGATCACAAGTTTGAGCCCACACTGGGCAACTTAGTGAGACCCTGTTTCAATATAATAAAAGAGCTCAGGGCATAGCGCACTGTGAAGACCCAAGTTTCAATCCTCGTACTGCAAGGGGGTGGGCACTGGCTGACTCTTTGGGAGTAGGACCAAGGAACTGGTGTCTAGTAAGCTCTCTAGGTGATCCTATGCTCACAAGAAGTTCAGAATTATAGAAGATAAGATTTGTGGAGAGATGAGAACTTTCTCTTATTTATTTCCTACTAGTGACTCAGAAGCCATCTATGGAAAGAGAAAAGCCTTGCAGATGTGTTACCTGGTTCTGAAGTACCACACTGACAGGGCGCTCTGAGGAGCCAGGTGGTAGCAACATTAGCCCCTGAAGTCCTTGGAGGAGTTCGTGGAAGGTCAAATGACTGATACATTTGCCCAGAGGCTTGAATAACATGTGTAGGGCCTGAAAAAAGGTCAATAAGATCTTCTCCCAAAATGCACTGTAACTTCACTTCCTCCTGCCTTCCCTGTAGCCCGTTCCATTTCTGAGAACTGCTTTTGGCTTTTTGCTGCAACCCACACAGCCAGGGGGCTCCTGAGAGGGAGCGATAGGTGATTAAGAAAAAACTATAGACACATATTAAAAGGAAATCTCGGACCGGGTGGGACCTGACCTCTCTGATGGAGGGGCAGACAACCCAGCACGGGCTGCCTCTTTATTTATACATGGTAAAAGGAGGGAAGCATACAATGGAGTCAAAAGTGCAAGGTCTCAGTGTTTTGCTGAAAACACAGAATGCGAACCATTCTCAAAGCTATCTGTGCTGTAGTTAATAGGGATGAACACCAAGGCCAGACACCTGCTGGACCGGCTTTGCTCTAGACCCAACAACTTGTTTACATGGCTTGCCTCTGGAGTTCCGTGTTCTTGGGACTGGCCTTACTCTAGCCCTAAATGTGTGGTCAACCCCAGCTCAGCTGCTACCCACAGCTTTTTCCTAGTCAGGTTACTTCTTAGGCCTGATTGCTGATTACTCTCCATCTCTAATATGAGTCTTTCAGTACCCACCTGTTCTATGATGCCTTCCCTAAGGGCTCAACGCTTGCGGGGAGGGGTGCTTGTTTTCCTCTCAAACCTTCACAGCACAAATCTGTGCAACCATACACCTATTTTCTTTTGCTCGTCATACTTGGTGATCTATTGTTTGTGTAGTAGTTTGTTCAGTAACTAACTTCCTCTCTTGAGAGTGGTGTGGCTGGCCCCCCTCAGTCAGGCAGGCATTTGGCTGGCAATTCTAGCGGGTAGAAGATGGAGGGGAGGCAAGACCCCCCAACCCATTCAGAAGACCATCCTTTTCTATACTGAATTCATAGTACCTGGTCAGTCACATCCCTCCGGACCAGAAGGGGCAGATGGTGGGTAATAACCAGAAGAAGGCTAACAGCCTGATCAGGCAGCAGAAAGGGCAGCAGGCGGGCCACCAGGGTTTTCCCCTTCTTCACAGAGAGCACCTGCAAGAAGCTATCTGCTGCCTCCCTGAGTGGGAGAGAAGGGAGCATTTTCAGAGATTAGAACTCAAAAGAGAGCCATAAGTCAGGCATGGTGGTACATTCCTGCAACCCCAGCACTCTGGGAGACTGAGGCAGGAGGATCACAAGTTTGAGCACAACCTGGGCAACCCAGTGAGACCCTGTCTCAAAATAAAAAAGTTAAAAGGGTTTGGCTGTAGCTCAGTGGTAGAGCACCCCTGGGTTTGATTCCTAGTACAGGGAGAGGGAAGGAGGACAGAGACAGAGACAGAGAAGGCTACATGCCAGGAAGAAGGGAGAGCTGCAAGACCAATGATTTAGCTGGTCCTTTCCTTCCTGAGACCCCCTGTCCCCCCCACATGCACACATACTCACTCCAGCTTGTTTTGCTCCTGGGTCTTTAAGGCTTGGAACAGCTTCTCAACCTGGTTGTTCTGCTGCTCAGAGTAGCAGGACTGTGGAAGCCCATCCTTCTGGCTCTCCTCTATCTCTAGTAACTGAAGGAACATCTGGGAATTGGAGGGTGGAGAAAGAAGAAAGAGGTAGTTTTGAGCACACTCCCATTCTCAAAGGTAACTCAGGAACTCCTCCCTAAGGAATTCATAGCTCACCTTCTCAATCCTGCATAATACCCAAAGCTTCTGACTGCTTACAGCTGCTGGATCCTAGGAGAAGAGAGTTTATGGAGCGGGGTGTGGTGGGAACACCTGTAATCCTAGCACTGAGGAGGCTGAGGCAGGAGGATCACCAAGAGTTCAAGGCCAGGCTGGGCTACATAGTGATTTCAATACCAGCCTGAGCTGTATAGCAAGACCTTGTCTCAAAAAACAAAACAAAGTCTCTGGCCACTAAGCCACAATACCACTGCAACATTCCAGGCTTCACACTAGCTAATCATTGAGCTGAAACCGTGCGTGGTGGTGCATGCCTGTAATCCCAGCACTCAGGAAGCTGAGGTAGGAGGATTGCTACAAGTTCTAGGTCAGCCTGGACTACGTAGTGAGGTCAAAGGCAGCCTGCAATATATAGGGAGACCCTGTCTCAAAAAACAACCAAAAAACCAAAACCCAAAAAACATTGAGCTGGAAGGTAGACATAAAGTCTGGTCTTGCTGCTTCCTCACTCTTAGGTTGCAATCTGGATCCAAACATGAAGGTGTTCTTGACCTTTCTTTGAAACAGGGGAGAGAAAACAAGGTTCTGGGGAGGTAATGTTCCTACCTGCTCTTGAGTTCCATGAGATACAGCATCGATGGCTCGGCGAGGACTAAAACATGTTGACACAGCTACCTGGCCCAGGGAGCCCTCAATTCGAACCACTGTGTGAAAAGAATTCGGAGAGACATCACTCTCCCCTTTCCATCAGCCATCTACCCAGACATCCACCTCCCATCAGTAGATCAGCCCAGTCCTACCTGATTCATAAGCCTCTGCCTTCTGAATGTAAGGTGTCACCAGTTTAGGAGACTGAACCCTGTTCTTTTGTCCAAGTAGTTCTTCATCTGCCTTCTTCTCTAGCTTCTGATAATATTTCTAAGAATCCAAGGACAGGGGAAAAAAAAAAATCTACGTTCATCTTCTGGATCTAGAATTAGGATTCTTAAGTATAACTTCTTAAGATAGCCTCTCCCATAGCAGTCATTCTGGAAATGATCCTGGCCCTTCAACCTTCCTAGCAGCTATTCTAAAGGGTTAAGCTCTGTGTCACCTGTTTTGGGATTCTCATACCAAGTACTTGACAAGCTAGGTAACAGTACCAGGTCAGATGACAAGGTCCGATGACAGGGCAGAGAACAAAGTGGAGAGCCGGGAAGGTCACCTGCTCCAGGATCTGCAAGCTTCTGACATTTTGTTCCAAGCACACACAGTTCATAGCATCAGTCTCATGCCCATTCTAACCTTGTGATCCCACCTACACTTTCCTAAATCAGAGTTTGTTATCTGACAATCTGAGGCCCATATGCAGCTCAATGCTCAAAACTAGCACTACAGATGTGTTTGTCAGTTGGCTTCTGGACCAGTTTTATAAATTTATGGATTGCCTCAGTAGCTTTTACATCTCAAAACAAGTTGAGGAACCCTAAATTAAAATAACTAAAACCCACTATGAGTTTAAAAAAAAAAAAAAGAATTGAATAGGCTTTGCCATTTAGAAGCAATGCCAAAAAAAGCAAGAGTACAAAACTTTCACTTTCAGTGATCCTGGCAGGAAGTGGAGGGTTTTTTTTTTGTTTGTTTGTTTGTTTGTTTGTTTTGTTTTTCTCAGGTGCCAGGAACCAAACTCACGACCTTGCACTTGCCAGGCAGGCGCTTTTGCCACTGAGCTAAATCCCCAGCCCCCCGGAGAGTTTTTAATTAGTGGAAAGAAAAGAAGAAAGTAATGTAAATGAGAAGGAGGTAAAGGTGAGAACATTGGTAGGAAGCTCCTGGATGTTTAGTAACCCAAGGAAAAAGCACACAGAAAGACCTACCCTGTAAATAAAAGGAAGAGGGGAAGCAGGGGAGAATGAGTTAAAATGTCTGCCAGCAAATTTAACAAACTGAATCTATTTAAGATCCCTGTGTATTTATATTGAATTTTGCTTTTTTGAGACATGGTCTTGCTTTGTCACTCAGGCTGAGCTTGAACTCATGACAATCCTCCCGCCTCAGTTTCCCAAGTGCTGCAATTACAGGCCTGTTCCACCACACTTGGCAAGATCCCTGTTTTAGACCTAGAAAAATGGGTGAATGTTTGTAAGAAGGTATTTCTAAGACTCACGAAAGTGTGCAAACCTGGGAAAGTTCATATTTCCAAGGTGAATAAGGAAATTTCTCAGCAAAATATGGAGACAAAACCCAAGTATTCAGGAAATTGTAAACAATCCCATTTGGCTGAAGTGTAGAACAGAAAGGAAAGAACTTGGAATGTCAACTCTAGAAATGACCCTTGTCCTGCAGTGGCTGTCTTGCCCACCTGAATAGACATGGACTCTATGAGTTGAAGAGAGAATCAGAGAAGTCCCCAAAAGTCTCAGCTTCTTTGGCCCCAAAATTCAAAGCTGGCACAGATAGCCAGGGACTCACCTGGTAGTAATAATCATTCAGATGGGGGTTCTCGCTCTGCAGCTGAACCATCTGCACTTTTATCACCCAGTCCTTCTCTTTTTGGGTCATGAGGTTAGCATAGGGGTCTAGCTGCTGAAACCAGATCTTCTTGGCTGGGGGACTTCAAGCCAGGGGGAACATCCCTTTAGGCCTAACCACCCCTGCCACAGTGAAATTCCCAAGGAGTAGTGAGCAGGCAGTAAAGTGCTCTGGCAGTGCTGGAAGAGTGCAGTGGTGGCCAACAGTTCCAGAGAGTGCCACCTGTGCAGGGGGTTGGGGCAGATGTATGGTCTCTGTCCCATACGTCTAGGAATATCCAGCCTGCAGATAGGCCCCTGAAGCCTGCTCATTGTTGTGGCTTTACCTTAGTGTTTGACTCTGTTGCTGCTGCTGCTGCTGCTTCAGCAAGATCCTCCGGTGCTGAGGGTGGAGCTGGGTCAGATGACTGAAAAAGAATCTTGAACTGGGAAGGGAGCTTTCTGCTCTGCTGCCCCTTCCGGGTACTTTCCGGTGGACATCCAAGGACCTTTTATTTGTTTATTACCCCTCCCCCAATCAAACCACAGAAACAGCACCATTCTAACTCCCCATCCTCCAGATGTATTTTCCTGCAATTTGGCTGTAGAAAATCTTGCAACATTAGGAAAACTTTGGCCCGGTTGTCAGTTTCGTCATACTAGCTGACTTCACAGTTTTAATCTCCCTATGGCTCCATTTCTTCATCTGTGAGGGAGAAGAGATTATACTATTCTTCGAATTTCTGTATTAGGTTTCTATAACTATTTTTTCTGTGGGAACTGTTACTGTGGCCCTCCCCCTTTCTCAGCCACCACCTCCCGAGGCCTCTAGAAAGAGCTAAGCTTGTCCTGTCACGGCAATCCCTGGCACCCTGAACCAGTACCTGAGCCTAGAAGTCCACGAGGTCAATGGGTTGCCGAAGAGAGATGGGTCCAACGGGGGCTGTTGAGGTTCAAAATGCTGAGGTGGAGAGCTGGTGCTGGGAAATGTAGGCTGCAAAGAAATGGGTGAGAGGTAGTACGGGGGCTGAGAGGGGTTCAAGGGTGCGGGGGCACATCTGCCAAGAGAATCTGCTCAAGCTCAGTTTCTATCTTGCCTTCATACGCTCACCTGCCTTTTCCCTTAAGAACTTCCCCCCAACATTTTGCTGTGTTGGGGATCCTTCAAGCCAGCTGTGAGTGCATCAGGTGGTGGTTCCTGGCGTTTTCAACAGAGTTGTCACCTCTTAGAAATCGGGTCATAAGTCTAACAGTGGGGGCGGGGAGGGTGTGTGTGTGCTTTTCAACATCTCTAGTTACCCTTTAAGTCTTCTCTTGCACTCTGTGTCTTTAGCCACCAAGGCAGTACTTTCCTCTTTTCTGAGTCATCTGAAGCCCTCATTGGAGCAGTTCTAGTTCCTCCTGCAGGATTTCCTGGTCTCTGAATCCTGCCCTCCATGTCCCCCTTGTGCAGTTCATCGAGGGAAGGTGCTCTCTCCAACCCTAAGTTTAGTGCTGCTCATCTGCTGAAATCTTGCATAGGCTAAGAACAGGCTCTAATTTTTCCACAAGAACAGTCAGCTGCCCCAGTAGCACCCAGCACATCTGCACCCATGCCTGGGCACACAATCTGCTATTTACCAAGCTCCTCTGCATAGTGGGACAGCTTATCTCTTATCTTATCTGCCCATTTGGGGTGCTTGTCTCCAGAGCAGAGAGAAGGATAGCATGAACATGACGGAAGAACTCTCAGCATGCTCAGGGGTGGAATCCTCTTCACCACCCAGTCACCTCCTCACAGGAGGAGGACTGGAGCAGGCTCACCTGCCATAGAAAGTGCAAGGAGGCAGGTGACATCCCCAGCACACCAGGGGTCTTGTCTCCAGGAGAGCTGAGTAGACCTCTCTGGAACAGAAAAGAGGAAAACCCAGGCTCAAATGGGCCTAATGTGGTGTCTTCTACACTCACTTGTGTCCACAGGGACATAGGAGGGGACGCAATGCCAGCCATTTCAATGGGACAATGGCAATCTGGCCTTTTTCATATTCAAAAGACACCTGCACCAGGATCCTGCTTTCCCCCCAAAAGCAAGACTGGTATCTTAAGAAGAGGTTAAAGGCAAGTCTGAGTCACTTCATTTCTACATGGCCTTCCTCATCTCTCCCCACTGGTTATGGACCCTAAAGGAACAAATATCAGGATGGACTGCTGAAATACAGGGACTCAGGTCAACATGCCTCCCTGTGGCAGAGTCATAACCTAGAGGGGGTGCACAGCCAGGCTGAGGCCTGGTTTTTTGTTATTGTTTTCATTTTTTTTGAAACAGGGTCTTGCTATGTAGTTCAAGCTGGCCTGGAACTCACTATGTAGCCCAAGCTGGCCCCAAACTCTTGGCAGTCCTCCTGCCTCAGCCTCCTGAGCGCTGGGATTACAGGTGTGTGCCACACCAGGCGAGGCCAGTTTTTAAGAGGAAGACAGCATCAGAAACTATAGTGGTACCAGGAGGGAAGATGGGGAGAGTCTCTAACTCAGTTCCATCCTGAAACAGAAAATGTTAAATTCAGAAATTCAAGAAGTGGTAGGGCAGAGGAGAAGGATGTTACACCGCAGCCCGAGCTGTGGACAGTTGGGGCCGACCCTTTCCCCACCTCCTGCCAGGGCAGCTGGGTGTAGTGGGTGGCATCGAGCACAGCTGGATCTCCAAGATCGTTCTCTTCTTCATCTTGATCTGGGCCCAGATCTGTCTCTGAAGCCTCCTTTGCCACCTGGTCTTTCTCTTCCTCTTCCTTAGGCATCAAGGAGCCACAGGCCTTGCCTGGCCTTTGGTGTAAATGTGGGCCTGTGGAGGAACAAACAGGCTCAGCATGAGGAGTGTGAGCGAGAGTGGCTGCTGCTCGGTACATTTCTGTGTGTTAGTCATCTCTAGAACCGTCTGTGACCAGTACCTCCATTCCAAGTGTTCTCAGCCTCCCTAGCTTACGGTACCCCAACCATCCCCCATGAAAGCAAACATCCTAACAGGTGCCAAGGTTCACCTGTCATACGGCCTCTTTGATGACTCAGTGAGTGCCTCACAGGTTGTTCTCCAGCTGCTCTCCTCCACTGCACAGCCCCTTCTGTTACCTCTTTAATTGAAAAAGTGCCAGCTGCTCTGATTCAATTTAACCCGGTGTTTAACACCACCAGCCACCATCTGTGTTACCAGATACTTTACACGTATCTCTTCGCTGAACACTCATGCCAGGCTGTCAAAGCTGTTGTCATTTTACTACGTAGGCAAGGAAAATAAAGTCTATCAATGTGATTCAAGTCACCTACTGTGATGTGCCAGCAAGTGGAAGAGTCTGGAATCACTTCCACTAATTCTGGATGCCCAAGTTTATGCTGAAGCAAACTAGCAGGGCTTCAGGTCCCTCACTTTTTGGCCCACTTGGTTTTATACCTTCAAGACATTTCGTCTTGGTAGGCTGGCAGTCTTCTTCTATGGCTGTGTCCTCCACTGAGAAAGTATTGTCAGCATCTAGGAGGTAAACCTGAGGCAGGGAAGACAGTCAGGTAAACAGCCACCCTTAAATATACCAGCCCAGCTCTGGGGAGCTGCTCTGCAATGGGACAGAAGTAAGGGTCAGAGCTAGGAACTGGAAGAGAAGCACTTCTCACTTCTCATGTGAACACCACCAGCCACCATCTGTGAACAGTGAGACCGTGTTGCTGACACCCACCTCTTGACTGTTGCTGTGCTTGCTGCTTAGGGTAGCCATGGCAGTCTGAGGCAGGGCCTGTCCGCTGCTCTCAGCTTTAACAAGGCCCAACTCCTCCCCACCCTCACCTGTTAAAGGGCCAGCATCCCCCCACCCACTGTTTTCCACATCCTTCACTGGAAATGTGTGAGATTGCGTTCCACTTAATCTCTAGGTTTTGCTCCAAGAAAACTAGATAGGAAAGCTCTATGTGCATTCTTTTTTTTTTTTTTTTTTTTTTGGTACCGGGAACCGAACCCACGACCTTGCGCTTGCCAGGCAG